TAAAAACTAAAGAACAATAACGTGGTGATTCTGTAAATGGTTGTCTCATACTGCTGATGAGAAATGCAAACACAGAAAACTCAGGAATAATATTTATGTAGAGCATGGCTTAGGTTATGATTGCATATATCCCAAAAAAAAAAGAATTATTGTCAAACTGTTCAACTGAAATCATCATACCTTTTGAAATAAAGCTTTAACAGTACGAAAAATAAGAGGGATTTTTGAAATCCCTTTTTTTCTCTTTTTTTTCCCTTTCCCCTCTTTCCTAGCTGAAAATTGACTGGCAGCTATCAGCAAATTTGAGACAGGAAAACTTTCAGAACTATTTGCCTTCTAAGCCACTGTCGTTGTCTGCAGCCTTCTTGGAACCAGATTTCTATTTGCTGACTGCATAGGCATTTTGTTGGAAGCTTTTTACTGAAAACACAAGAAATAACGTTTGAATTGTTTTTGGATTTCTTGTAGGATTCTGTCTTATTTTTAAAGCCTCTGAGCTGGATATCTACTTGTGTGTTTCATTCCTCGTGTTTTGTTTTTATTCTAAATATCTCCTTTGTATCTGTCACAAAGTGGAATGCAAAATAATTAAGCTATTTGTGGAGGCTCTGACTACAAAATAATGCTCCCCACCATTCTCAGTAATTCCATTTTTAACTAAAGCCTTGACCTGTAGTAGAGACAATAACAAATTGCTGAATCTTCTCATCATTTAGGTTTGCATTATGACTTAAAAACCTGACCCAGTTTACTGGATTTTTTTCTGTATACTTCATGAAGATACTAACCTCACTTAACTCACAATGACACCTTATTTCTTAAATTTCTTACAGATTACTTTTCCTCCCCACCAAAGTAGTTAAACTACTTTTCAACGCTACAAGAGGAGGAGAAAATCCCATCAAAACTTTTCAGTGTTAGATTATCTACATGAAACAATTGCTTTTGGGTATTTTGCCTTCCTTTGACATTTGAAACCAGACTATTGCCTTCCTACAGGGCTGCTCTCTGAGCCTTGCAAACAGCTCGGCATTATACAGAGAAGACTCAGCTCAGTTTTCTAAACAACTTTTTCATGCCATGCCACCCACACAAAAGAGTCTGGGGCTTTCCTTGCCTCTTCAGTCTGGATAGACTTCCTTTTTTATTCCTGTGTCTCCAGTCGCTGTGGCAATGTGTGGCCTGGAGGCTTGGCTTGTGACTCTTTGGATTTGCTTGATGCAATAAGCTGATATACAATGCCTGGAAGGATTGTCAAGGTATGCTCACTGCACCTAGAAATTAAGGGGGTTTTGTAGGCTTGAGAAGTAGAAGCTCAAGTCCAGGCTTGAATTTTAGGTCCTTCGCTTTGCTCTGTGTGTGTTGCAGTGTTCCTATAAAGGGGAATACTGTGTGTGTGTTTCATTGCATTTTCCAGGGGAAGTAGCAAAACTGCAGCTTCTTTGGGGTCGGAGACACAGCTGGGTCCTGGTATTGGGGACAAGCTCTACAAGTGTGAAAAACGGAGGTGCCCCCATCTCAGGCATGTTCAGCCTGTGAAACACTGTAGTATTTTTATTCTCCGTGATGCTTGAATATCGAATTTGCTGGAGTAGTGCAATGCAGCTGACAGAAAGGTTGTGCTATGTGCACTGTGAAGGGTCCCACAGCCAGTCCTGGTCACCAGAGCCCACCCATGGCAGCAGGCAACCAGCATGGGGAGCTGACTCCTTCAGCTCCTGATTCAGCCCTTCTCCAGGTGTAGGTGGAGGAGGACTCGTGGGCTTGGCTGGAGAGGGTTTCTGGCTGATGATGGGATTCAAAAGGAAAGCATTTTACAGTAATGATCTTGGTTATGCATTGAAATGTTTGTTCAGGAGAAAATGTCTATGAATTGGGAAAAAAAAAAACCCTACCAGAGAGGAACAGTAAAAGGCTGTGCACAATGCCAGCTGCTGTTAAAGGTTGAGGGTTTATTATCAGAGCATCCTTTTTAGCAACACTGCTTCAAATAATTTCATCAGCCTAAAGAAAATTGCACCTTACACCTTTTTGTTCTGTTTTCAGAATGGATTTTTATGGGAGGACAGGGCTGTTCTGAGTGTTGGACAGGTTAAGCCCTGAGCTTTCAGAGGAGCTCTGTGAAAAGACACTGAGCACTGAGCGATGTGGTTGCATAGTGATACCACTGTCCTTGCTCTGTGATGAATAATTCAAAGGAAAGTGTCTGGTTAGTTACAAATATTCGGAGCAGATTTTGTGTGTACTCTGTATAACAGAAGGCAGCACACAGTAATGAGCCTTTCTCCTTGGGACCGGGCTTGGGTGATGGAGAGTTCTCATGAAGTTGCCAGAATATAACAAATAATCCCCCGATATCAAATAAGTATTCCCTGCCCCGGGTGGAACTGATAACTGGAAGTAAGGCTTGAACTGAAGGGGGAAAAAGAATGCTTCTATTTTTTTTTTCTGTTTATTTTTAGTAGATGCTATTGAGAGGCAACGTACTCAACAGTACTCACTGGGAAGGCTGCAAACAGTGTGATCACTACCAAGCTGCCAGTATTTAGGAAAAAGAGCTTTCTGCATCCAGCCTTCCTTAGTTCCCACTTCTAGAAATTTCACTGGGAATTTCACATGATCCTAAGCCTTGCATGAGTCTTATCCCTATACCACAGAAGAAGCAAGCAGCCTTTTCCCCGCGTGGGAGAGCATTAATAGCGATGTCCAACAGGCAAACATGCATTCTTCTGGCTAGTGGTCAAATGAAATTTGAAAGCCATTATATTGTCCAGTGTTTTTAGTGAATAGCTGGTGCAGACAGCTGGACTGCTGGGAGCTGCCTCAGGATCGCCTGGGAGGTTACTGAGCTTTTGGTTTGATCTTGGAATGATCTTCCCGTGTAAATAAAGGGTAAGCATTCGTTAAGAATGATTAAAGTATTAGATGTTTTGAGATGTCATGTGTTTCTTCATTAAACAGCCTTTGAAAATTAACATAAAGGTCATTAGCCCAACCCAGTTCTGTGGTTAATGCTTTTTCCTGGTTCGATTTGATCTAGTTACTTCAGGCATTTATAATCTTTTAATTTATAATGGCACACCAACCTACTCATGGCTTTGCACCTAACTGGTGCCATGAAAATCAGCTTGGTTTGGTCCACGTGGTGACCACATGAGGTCCTGCCTGGAGCTGACCTGTGCAGTCACCTATGGCATGCACTGGAGGGGTGATAGCTTCCCCAAAAGCTTGGGGACCCTGCAGTGAGAATGGGAGTGTGAGCTGTAGTGAGGGATTGGTGGCTGCACACATCAGCAGATGGAGGGAAGGAGGGAGGAGCAGGATGTGCTCAGATCATAGACAAGCACTACCAGGACGCAGACAAAAGCTACAGTCACTTTGGTTTTTACCTGTGTGCATTTAAACCAGATAAGCTTTTTTTTATGCCTTCTTTTATCTCAGTGCAAATTGCTAGAGGTGAGTTATAACTGAAAATACGAGGCTTTAAAAGCACCGAAGTTTTACAGCTGCAGCGTGTTGATACTCCAGGATTTCCTCTTTCTCACATAAATGTGAAAGCACAGTAGTGCTCTGAGCTCGGTGCCTGCTTTTCAAATGATAAAATGTTTTAACTGCTATCTTTTTTTTTTTTTCCCTCCTCAATCCTAGCTCCTAATTAAGCAGTAACTGTAAGAGCAGTAACTGCAATAATCATTTCTTTTTGCACTGATCTAATCTGAAGCCACGAGCAGCTGCAGTAGTTATGCTACGAAGGATTTTTCCCCTTTGGCATATATTGCCCAGGCTGTCCCTCGATTAGGTTACAAGTGCTTGAAGGCTATTGATTTTTGTTGTGTTTTATGAGAATATTTCTCTTTTTCACAGCTTAATTTTCCAGGTTCGAATTTGAATGATCAGGTTGTGAAACAGAAGTGTTTATGCATCTGATTACCTGTTTAAATCTGTAAAAAAAAAAAAAAACCAACCTTCTGATTCCTGAGCCACTGCATGCTCTGGGGTGTTGTCCTCCTCCTGCTATGTCACCCAGACAGAAGGTGGCTGTAAATGTTAATAGTGTTTCTCAAGGGGAAGTGGTGTTGTGACGTTGCTGACCGACATCCCAGGAACACGGTGTGAGACTGTTCTGTGGAAATCACCCCGGGTTTCCTGAGCCTCGTTTGGCTGGGTTGCCAAGCAACTCAGGGCAACGAGGGGCTCCTATGTATTCTTTAGGTAGGCACAGGTCCCTGTGGAGATTTCCAGGTGAGTGAAAGAGGCTGGTCAAGTGTGACACAAGAAGTTAAGCCCTGCAAACATAACTTTCATTAAGGAGTTTTGTTTTTTTTTTGAGACAGGAGTTGGATTAGACCCAGGGATGACGTATCCTGTTTGATTTCTTTTCCCCTCGCGCTCTGACGAGCTTTGTGTTTAGGCAGGCTTTTGTTTCTGGCTCTGAGTCGCTTTGAAAAAATTTGGGAGTGTGTCTCGGGGTGTCAAGGGTGGTGTGCTTAGCTTGATTGGCTCAGTTCGCTTGCGAGTGCTTTGTTCTTCCCACCACCCTCAGGTCAAGTTGTGCAACATGCCCCTACTGTTTGAAGAAAAAAAAAAAAAGAAAAAGAAAAGGAAAAAGGAAAAAAAAAAAAAAAAGAAATGCTGAGTAATGCCAGAGGTTTCTCAAATGGCTGATGCAAACCTGGAGAATTTGCATCATCAGTCAGCTGGAGTAACTTGGTATGACAAGAGCTTAAATACAAGTCCACGCGGAAGCTGAGCTGGTTTCCAAAGCTGGGGCAGTACCAGCTCGCAGTGGGAAGGTGCAGGTGTTCCCCAGCTCTGCTCAGATCTCACTGAAGCCTCACAGACACTTTAGGAGCTGGCTACCTGTGCGTAGGAGCAGCCGGAAAGAGAAGAGAGGGCAGAGGAAGAGACGAAGTAGTTAGCTACACAGAGAGGAAAAAAAAAAAAAGACTCTTGAGTTTCTGCTGCAAACTTTTTTTTGCCTGTGCTGGTGGCACGGGAGCATGTTTAGGAAAGCTGCTGTAACCACGGTCTCTAATGGAAGCTACTTGCAGGGGCAAGCTAATGGCAAGTTGCCCTCTATGGACAGCGGACAGCCAGCCCGGGAGGGAAAAGTTGTGCTGAAGAAGAAAGTGACACTTTTGAGAGGGATATCCATCATAATTGGCACTATCATTGGAGCTGGCATCTTCATCTCTCCCAAAGGCATCCTGAAGAACACGGGCAGCGTGGGCATGTCCTTGACTGTCTGGACAGCATGTGGTATCCTCTCGCTCTTTGGTAAGTCCCTTGAAAGTTTCTAATTGGTCTAGAGGGGCAGCTGGTGGATTATTGCTATTTTTTGTCTGATTTTTGCCATTGGATAGCAAGGCACAGTGTGGAGCTTGAGGACCAATAGGGCTCCAGAAGGTTTGTGCTGTGTGATAGGTTGCGTGGAGGGTGTGGGGGGGATACAACCTCTGTGTCCCTAGCACCCGGTCGGTAAAGATTGGAAGTGTAAATTATTGTTTCTTATGGGCCCCTAAAGGAACAGGAAAAATAAATGTCCATTTTATGCCATACAATGTGCTGTATGTATGATGTTTTTCTTCTGGCTGTAGGAGGTAGTTTATGGTTTGCTTGCAAGGCTCCTGGCAGCTGGGAATGAGGGTCACTCTGCTCGAGCGCTGACAAAATGTTTAGACAGCTCGACCTACTTCCCTAGAGGCTACAGCAAGGTCTGAGAGGAATAATTCCCACTGGACATGAGCTGTGTTGGCATGAAAGGGAGAAAAATAATAACACCTCTCCCCAGTCTTGTATTACTGCTCTTTACTTTGCTCCTTTCTTGTGGTGTTGCTTTGAAAGAGAGCGCTGCAAAAAAACAGCGTGATGGAAACATTTTAATGCAAAGTTTTGTTGCTGGCTTGCTTATCGTGGAGAGTTTTTACTGATTTTGTGTATTTTTGAAGAGTAGTAGATCCCAAAGAATGGCAGTTTATTTGTCCTGTACACAAAGCTCCCATTCAATGTAGAAAACGCCACCCTGGCCTCCACAGGACAGAGGGTCCATTGACCTACTTAACGAGTTAATCTCAAAGAAGCTGAAGAACTAACATGAACATTGGCTTTATTTAAAACAGAAATGGCTTGTTTTCTGCCAAGAGTTAAAGAGGACAAACACGGACTAACATGTGTCTACTTAATAGGTGGAACATGCAAATGCAACCCTGTGTAAATTGGCTCTGAGCTTAAAAGAAACATGGGCTGTTTACAGGCTAAGCCTACCCAAGCCAAACACACAGCGCAAGCAAGTTAGGAGACCCATTTTGGTCAAATTTGAAATGTATTGGTACAATGTGCAGCATAATCTGTTGTACAAATGTGGAAATCCTGCCTGTAACCAAGATTCACCTATAAAGAAGGATACGGCATCTTGTGACCTTGTCAGAAGATCTTAAATTTAATCAAAACAGAATTTGCTTAATCTTTGAATTTTTGGCTTTTGCTTTAATAGTAGTAATTTTCTGGCCGTGTAGTGAAGTCTATTAAAAGAAAAAAAGGAAAAAAAAATCATCTGTTTTATCGGACAGATTTTCTAGGTCATTTTCCAGACTTCAAGATATGAAGAACTGTGTAATCTGGCCCAGCAAAAGGTATTTTTTCATGCCACAGGTGTTTTCAGTTCCCTGCGTGACTTAATTATCATAAAATCACATGCAAAGATTACTTAAGGACTTGCTGAGGTATATACCATGTATTAAAACACCATTTCATCCTGAAACTCAACAGGATGGCAAGAGAAAACCCATCCATGTCACATCATTTTCTGTGTTACTGTAAGAATTCCTTTAAGTACATTTGCAGGTAAGGTGAGGAATAGTAGATAAAAGCTGCCACATTTTTACAAAGCCCCAAACAAAGCAAATGAACAAGAATGGAATCTGTCATAATGCTTTAATGGGCTTGTACATGTTATGTAGCTTTCTTAATTGTAGTTTTCATCTTGAAGTGCTGCAACATAAAAGCTTGCAGGGAACAGAGCTGAAATGAGTTCATGAATATTGCTGATCTCAACTCCATGTGATGCAGTGTTCACAAACTTTATTGCTCTTTTAATCTGGCTCCTTAGACTCTGCTAAGAGGACTACCTACATTTATTGGATGTGGTACATGTCGCTGTTGATGCAATCCTCTCGTGGAGCTGAGAATCCACTGGCTTTGCTCACGAAGCAACAGCAGCAGATGGTGCATGGGTGAAGAAGGTTTCATGTAGGTCCTCCTAGTTGCAGCATGCTGTTGCCTGCTCTGTAATGGCAGAGGCCACTCGTTGTGCCAGCAGCAGCCTTGGGGAGCTCTCTGAGAGCTCCTGTTGGCTGGGAATGCCACTAGCACTTACTCAAATGCAGCAGTGTGATGATGATTTGGGTCTTCAGCCAGTGTAAAAGCACCAAACGATGAAATGAGCCTCCTCCCATGCAGAGGTGAAGTGGTCTGTATGTAAGGCAATGCAGAAATCAACCAAGCTTTCATTGCATTTGTATCACACAACAACACTGCACCAGTGTTGAAAAGCCAGGGCTAAGCCATCCCCTGAATTTCGTTTAGAAGAAGTTGGGAATAATACTGAGGAAAATTTTTAATCCCACCTTCTGCTTCCAAATTTTGGGCAGTCAACTGCTTCACCTGTGGCTGAGAAATAAAAGTTTCCAGGCTTTCCTTCAGAAGCTGAGCCAGGTTATCTTTAAGGCTAGAAGAAGCTGATCATCATTTGATAAGCAAATGTGTTAAAGGCTTTCATTTAGTGGTGCAGTCAGGCTGGCTGGGGAGCAGGGGTAACTAGCATGGCATAGTGTTTTGTTGTCCCTCTTCACTAGATGCAGATGAGTAATCAAAGGTGTTGATCTCAAGTAGTTTGTTCAGTGGCTTTACGTGGGAGTGGAACTGGATGTATGTACAGTCTGGTTAACTGCAAGTCTAGCTGAATGAATGAAAACTTACAAAATTGCTTGGAAAAAAATGATTTAAAAATATCAGAAGTTGTTATGATACCAAAGCAGCTCCATTGTTTAGCTTATAAAAGTTTTGGAAGGTATTTCTATGTGTCTCTTGTGATGCCACAGTTTAATTCTCACAGGTGCCCTCTGCTATGCTGAACTAGGAACATGCATTAAGAAATCTGGGGGCCACTACACCTATATCCTGGAGGCCTTTGGCCCATTACCTGCTTTTGTGAGAGTCTGGGTTGAATTACTCATCATTCGGTAAGTGTAGGGTGACTTTTCTGTATTTCTTTTCTTCTATTCTGGCAATACACTTTTCAGTCATAAAGAAAAATCTCCCACGCTTCATGGGCAAAAAATATTTAAATAAATCTTGATTGATGAGTTGTGTTCTTTTAGTATGGTTGGTTCAGAGAATTTAACAATGCTGTTTTGTTCATTCAAGCAAACACATTTAAGAAGACATATGTGCATATGGGTGGGGGAAGTGATTCTGTGAAAACTGCCTGCCATGCAAATTCAGCTGCTTGCTTTAATTTTGCTAAGCTCACTGTATCCATTAATGTCACTAACAATGCTAATCCCCATGCCTATATATAGTACAGTGGGCAAGGGAAGTCACCTTTACATATTCTCACTCTTGGCATTAGCTTTTGAAGTGGCTGCTGCTGTCTGTGGATCCTGGTGAAGCTATTGCCCAGTAGTTTTCAGATTTGGGGGTACCATGTATTCATTATATGTCTGTCCAGGTCCCCATTTTTTGCTTTTGAAGAACTTAACTCTTGATTCCTGTGAAAAGCACTAACTAGCTAAAAGCTCTAAAATGTCTGAGGTGTTGTTTTGGTAGGTAAGCCTGTCACTTGGGCAGTGCTTGAGAGTGCATAGGTGAACTACAATATGAAGAACCATCATTTCTTGATGAACCATCAAGAAATAGATTTGCATAAAGTAAATGGATCTTTGTATAAAACTTAAAGGGAGAGTTGGTTACGTGTAGAACAGGAGAACTGAGTTATGCAAAATGACTTAGGGAATGCTGCATTCCCACTCCTTTCCCCTCTCTTCCCTAATCAACAAATGAGTCACAAAAGCACAAGCCTCATTTCAAATCACAACTGTGTTTACATAATACTGTCAAGTTCTAGCATAGACTGGTGAGTTGAAAAGCACTGACAGTGCCGAGTCATTATGAACCCTTAAATCCTTATCTTGTTTCCGGAGGAAATCATTGTGTAGGTCGGATGGTCCCTTACATCCTCCCCACCCCTATGCAACCTTTGAATTAACTGTGTCATTTCCATCCAAGGTGATGAAAGAGCAGCTGTTTTACTCCTATTAACTTTTTACCAAAAAGGAAGTCCAGACAGAAGGAATAGATCTATTTTTTCATTGTGAGAAGTACAGTACTGTGAGTGTAGCGTGTAACTCCACATCACAGAACCAACAAAGAATGTAGGATAAGAAACCCCCTCTTAAACTGCACCTAAGTAAGCAGAGGAACCTTTTAACTTAGGCACAAACACCCGCAAACAACCAAGCTTCATAAATTCCCCTCTTTGCCAAATTATTATTTTTTTTACATACGCCACTGTCCCAGGAGTGTCATGAAAACACTCTTAGTCACTGTGATCTGCTCCACACCCAGAAAATAATCATCTTCCATGGGAAGGAACATCAGTGAATTCTTAATCATCAAATCTGAGAGGCAGCAAGGGAGGTGGACTTGTTAGAACTTGCAGTGATCACACCAGCACTGCCAAAACTCTTCATAGACTTATATATCTGACTCCTGCATTGGTAAACTAATTGGCTGCTGTTATCAAGGAGGTTGAAACCTAGTGGGTATCTAGGTTTTTTTTTTCAGTAGATGAACTTGTGCAAGCATTTCTCAGCTAAGCTATTTTTTCCTTGGAAAGGTTGCAGGATTATCACACCCCCCAGGCTGGTGGAGCAGCTGCAGGAAAATAAACATTTCCTGCTCTCGTGTATCTTGTCAGCCACTATTTCAGCCTAGGACACACTTCAACTCTGCCCACGTGCTGCTTAAACTGTGCCAACATCACCTGCTTTTTAGATGGGCCTTACACTGCACCTCATCCTTACAGTTGCTCCTCATCCTGCACAACTAGGAAGTTTTCTTCTCCCCAAAAGTCGGATTCCAACTATATTACATAGGATAAAAAAAAAGAAAAAGATCTCAAACAAGAGAAGACTTTGCAAATGCATTGCCTGTGGTGCATAACTATGGGGATTGCTAAACAGGGGTTGGGTGAGAGTGTGCTGCCAAGTACCTGCTCCTTTCCCAGTGGCTTTTTGGGCTCCTTGCCCTTCCATGAAAGTTCCTGATGTGCTTTCTCTCTGCTCCTGTATACAAGGACAAAACTCTCTTTTGAAAAATTCTTTTACCATTTGATGGAGAATAATAACTTCTCTGCAGAATTTTTACACTCTTCCATAGAATTTTTAGCAACTATATTAAAATTCTGTAAGCAGAGGCATTATTTTATTAAATGCTGTAGATTTTTTTCCGCAAGAAATTTGCATGAACTCTTGTTTAACTCAAAAATCCTTTCAGACAGAATGATATGCCCTTTTGTCCCTACTGTGTGTGACAAAGCACAGATGCCACCAGCTGTCCTAAGAAGGGTGAAAGTGTTCTCCCAAACTAAACGTGGACAGACCACTGGAAATGTAATATGCAGATAATATCTGATCTGAGGCACAGGGTAATTTGCTGCTAATGTGTGTCAATGCTATGGCCTCTGGCAAACATTTAGCTTCTCTCCGAGCAAAAGTCTCTGAATATTATGAGTATTTCAGGTTTGTAAATGAAAGAAATACATACCTTTCTTCATTTTTCTCTGTTTCATGTTAGGTGCTTTCCATACTCGTGGGTTTTTGCTCTCACAGTGCTAGGAAGTTGTTAGTCAATAAGAGGAACAGGTTCTCTTTGCATTTTAGGAAATCCCATTTTCATTTTTATTTTTATTTTTCTTTTGAGTTCTCTAAGATTTTAATAAGAGACTTAAGTAGGTTTTGGGTACTTATTTCAGTAAAGGAGAATTCTCATCTTGATTGACATTAATTTGCTTGTGTCTCTGAGGGGTGAGAAATACCTGGCCACTAAAATTCAGTCCTCCCCAACTTTTTACTCAGGGTTTTGCCCATCTAAGCTACTTATGGCTGTTTCTACTTTAAATGAATGAATGAAGATTTCCTTTCTGTTTACGGCTGCTTCACAACGTGGAAGTTGTAAGAGTGATTCTGGTAAGAAGTGTTGCTCTCTAAGATCAGAACCACTGAGCAAAGCCCAACTGCTCGTGGTTTCCTGCTGCATTCAGAAATCATGGTATGTGGCAGCACAGTTACAAGCAGGTACCAAAAAAATGTGTGGTCCACAGTTCTGTGATAGTAAAGTTACATCATGACCCCATAAGAATATTATCCATGTACTAATGTGGATTAATTTGGTATTTTTCTTGTTTTTCACTCTAGCCCTGCTGCCACAGCAGTGATATCGTTGGCATTTGGACGTTACATTTTGGAGCCTTTCTTTATGCAGTGTGAAATCCCAGAACTTGCAATTAAACTTATTACAGCTGTTGGCATCAGTAAGTATCCAATTTTAGGTTTCAGGGAAGGCTAAAAATGATGTAAATTGAAAAAAAAAAAAACAAAAACAAAACAAAAAAACACCAGGAAATCACACACTGAATGGGTAGTCGTTTGATGTGAATCATTACAAAATGACTGTGCATCTAGTGCCAAGGGCATCAGCCTGACTTTTTTGCCTGGATGTGTGTGTTTGTGAACATACACAGTAGTAAAAGGAACTGCAGACTTTATTAATAGCAGGGAACGACTATTGCCAAGGTTGATTCTGTTGCCTCTTGAATTAATGGCAGAGCTCTCATTACTTTTGTGGAAGCAATTTCAGTCCTGAAGAGATGGTGAGGCAGTGCCAGAGATATGGGAGAATGATTACCTGATTTTAAGTGCTCTGCTCTACCTCTGTTTTAGGAGGCAATGCAGTGCCAAGTATGATGCCGTGAAGAAAGGTGGTTCTCTCGAGTGGAGCACTCAAGAGTGGCAACATGAGATCATTTTGTCTAGTCCCACTCTGCTCCTCACAGCAATAAAACTTATTGAGGCACTTGCAGTTCAGGAAGCAGGAACCCAACTGATGACTTTGGGAGCAGGGTCTACAGCTTGGTGACAATGCACATCTGTTACCAGCAGCTTGTTCTACTCTTGCTAACTTGGTAATTACTATAAAAGGGACCATTTAGAGCTGCAGAGAACCAATAATTGCCAGTGGAAGGAGGGAGACTACCCCAAGACCATCAGCTTTACACCTGGGCTAGTGTGGGAGGCTGCACAAAATGGGAAGGCACAAATTGGGATGGGAATGGGATTCAGGAGCCCTGTGCCTGTAGCATTAGTGGCTTGTTTCCAGTTCTGTTTGGTCACTGGTGATGATGCTCCTTGCCCACACATTCACATTCAGCTGTGCTGGGAAGAGAGTGCAGAGGAGACCTGAGTAATTAGTAACAGATTGTTCCTTTCAATTTGGTCAGTGCACACATCGGAAACAAAAGGACCTGAAAAACGAATTAAGGCATGCAAACTGATCAAAGGCACACAGGAGAACCCTTCAGTTTTGTACAACAATAGGTTCAGATGACTTTTTCTTTCTTTGGGGTAGGGGTTCAATTGACATTCAAATTTCCAGTCTCCAGGTTCCTGTGGTCTTTTTTTTTCTGTAGGAGCTCTGTTGATAAGAGCTCCCTTCTGCCAGGAATGTTTAAAAAAAAATCAGTCTGTGAACTGCATTTCTTTCTAATTTAATTATGCACAAACTATAGGTTTCATAGGAATAATTGAATTAAGAGCTTGAATTTTGAGGTCAATGACTTTTTATAGCTACATCTGTCTAAAATATTTTGGTGCAAGATAAGGGTGAAACAGATGTTCAGTACTTCAAGGTCACTGAGACAGAAGGAATGTTAAGTGAGGACTCCATCAAAGCATTTTGTTAAGCGTGTGTGATTCAAGCACAATAAGCAAACCATTTGAAATAGCTTTTTATTGCTTTTAATTTAATTGAAAATCTGTGTGATAAGCCAGGGCTTTGCAAAGTAATTAAACAAAGGAGTAGCATTGCAGGGGGGTGGCGTTATGCTGAAATAATTAGAGCCTCAAGGGAGAGAGACAGCAGACTGCTCCTGTGGTGAGCGTGGGTCTGGACAGAGCAGGTAGGATGATCTGTCATTTCACCCAAAAAAAGGGATTCTTGGAGCAAGTTTGCAATGGTGAATGGGACGATGCTGAGGGAAAGTGACACATCAGACTGAGGCTTTATCTTCACTCTTGGCAGTACGTTCTAAAATAGAGTTTCACTTGTGGTAGTTTTTGATCATATGCCACGTTTCTTAAGCTCAGGGATCCCAGATGGTATGACTGTTACTCTTGTATGGCAAGAATTAGCTGTTGTGGTGGTAATTGTTATGAATGTTTTGTACTGTGCATGTAGGCAGAGTGATAGGTAAGATTAAGATGCGTTGGGCTGAACAGACACACTGGAGCCCTGAAGATCCTATAATCCAATTTAATGGTGCCAAAGGTAGTGTTTGCCTCCACTGAAAACTTAAAGTTAGTCTGGAAGTGAGCTGATGTGCCTTTTGTCTCCTTATCTGCTCCTGGTCCCTTCTCCCTCCTGTGCCTGATAACAGAGTGCATTTCTCTCTTTACTGCATGGGGGGAGAGGTGGTGGGATGCACCATTAAAATCTGTCCTTGGCTGAGACTTTGTCCTGTATTTTTACTTTGTCATTTCTGATCATGCTAGAAAGAGCAGGAAGAGGTTTTGAGAAGTCTGCAGATGATCCCCTGCCCCCAAACACAATGAGCATATCTAAACCATTTCTGACAGATGTTTGTCTAAACTGGTCTTAGCACCTCCAGTAAGGGAGTTTCTAAAGCCTCACCTAATACCATAGCCCAGATTTTTCTATTTTGGTCACACGGCAGCTTTTCCCATTTATCTTTTTTCTACCTAAACCTCCTTTTCTGCAATTTCAACCTACTATTAAAAGGTTGCCTGAAATGGATGCAGCCAGGGTTATGATGGGGAGTGGCAAATACTGTTGCTCTTCTACCAGCTGCAAACAAGTCCTTCTCATAGAGGGGCTACAAAGATGATGTAGATTGGATGAGAGCTAAAATGGAACTACTGGCAACAGCGACCTTTAAAAAAAATCCTCATTATTGGGTTATTATTTACAGGAAGAAAGGATTTGCTGGGCATAAAATTCCCCTTGAAACCACATCTGTTCTGAGCAATTTTGAACAACCTGTATAAGCAAATTTTCTGTTCCATAATATGATGCTTTCAGGTTGTTTTTTTAAATTTTTTTTTAAAAATTAAAAACAATGAAGATGTCCAAACATTTCAATGCCTCAAAAGAAAGGATGATGCTTCTGTGAAAATTCTCTTCAAATGCCACCCTTCTGAACCTCTGACTGCCTGTTCTTTTTGAACTTAGAAACCACTTTAATTCACTTGTTATTTCTCAAGTGAATCTCTGTGAGAAATAAAACCCAGTCAAATACTGGATATGCATATCTCAGTCTGCCTTAAACCTTTTCTAAACTCAGTTTAACTGCAGCCAAGAGAAGAGCAGACATCTCAAAGATATCCAATTACTACAGTTTTAGTTAAAATAAGTGGCCAGGTATAGGAGAGAGAATCTGGATGTGCCCCAGTGTACAGAGGGAGAGCTGAATTCTTTTAATTCTTCTATTGGTAAGCTTAAATATGTTTGTAACAGGAAGGGATAAATTATACTGTGCAAAAGTGCTGAACAGCACTCTCAATGTGTAACCTGCATAGATAGGCCACTGAACTGAACCTGCTCTAATCTTTTCACTTGGCCTCCATATCAGAAAGCAGATAAACAGGTTTCACCTGTTAAAAGCTGTGAGACTGAAAACAGGTTACCAGCTCACACAGTTTTTACACTCATTCATGTGTATTGTGGGTGTTTTATGCTGCAATAATGCATAATTTCCCTTCCTCCCTTCCTTTTTTTTTTGAGTTCTACCAAAACCCTTCAAATACCCCAAATTATGGCTGTCAGAGGCAATACTACACTCGAAAACCAGGGTCAGTGGTACAGATCTAGCAGAGCTTGCTGACTAAATACTCTCACCCAAAGCTTCATTGGTGTAAATTTAGTGTGTGTGTAAGTAAGTAGTTGGTTGATTGTTTATTTTTCCATCATGGTAGATATCACACGTGTCACACTGCACTGCTGAGAGTTTTCAGTCAAGCAGTTTAAATTAAGGCAACTTTTTCTAGGGATAGCAAAAACTACTCTGATGGGTGCTTCTGTGCCTCCCGTGACTTCATTTTAATTGACACATTAAGATCTGCAAATTGAGTGTATATTTTTGCTTTCTGTGAATGCCTTGACCCTAGGAGCCTGTCAAGTTAAGGGAGGACAGTTTCCTTGGTTTCCT